CACACAATCGACTAAAAAACCGATACATATATATACAAGAGATCCCTCCTATTTTTTGTTAGCACTGCTATTTCATACAAATCAATTAATGAAACTTTCCTACAACTGTATCGCTATATAGTAAACAGAAAAAGATTATGAACTGAATACGTTAGAAAGAAATTCAATGTAATTTCGATCTTTGGTTGATATAGCATCTAAAATTTTATTCAGATTATAACTTTCCTTTTCATAATATAAATAAAATGTCATTTTTGTGTCGATTGAAATGAAAGAAGAAGTGGTTGTGGATCTGTTCTTCATTGAAACACACACCCACACCCAGCCAAATCCACACCCTATGATAGATAGAACGAATGAGAATGGTTGTGTATTACCCTTAATGATATCAAAGAAAATTCATCAAGCACATGTATACACCAGGAATTAACTAATGAAAGACGTCGATTCATTTCATTTTCGTAAATTAACGATCATACATTCGATATTGGATTTAGATCCTATAATTTTAATTTTTTTATCAGTTTCTAACAGCAATACCTTTGTATCAGAACAGTGAAAATTCTTTTTTGTGAGATCTTTTCCAAAAATCAATCTAAATATAGGAGGATTGAGTCGAAAAAAATGCTCTTTTTTGGATGCTGCATTATTTTGAGCTATAATTCATCAAATTAGTCTATTCTCGTCTCATTTTAAATGAAAAGATAGAGAAAATTCAGAAGACCATTTTTTATCTGAAAAACAACACTTGAAAATCGACTCAAAAAGTACTAGACGTTTCGAAAGTTCTCTCCAGCTGAAGTTGCTGGAATGATTCGCATTGCATCAGAAGAAAAATGAAACAACAACTTTCTTCAGTAGGTCTTATTGTAGGAAGAACTGTATGTCAATAATTCCATGAATGGTTGAACTTTTTTCAGGTGCCAAAGAAAAGATTTCGGGCTATCGAACGATGTATTTTCCATTTAATTTTAATGTATTATTTGTAGCACAATGATAAGAAAGTTAAGTTTTATGATTTTCCTTTGATTAATGTGCTGGTGTGATCCGAATTACATCAACGCATATTGCTTGTTGATTCATATTTTCCCAACTGGTATAGTTTTGATCATTTCTTTTCCATGTTCTTGCCATTTTTGTAATAACTCTGTAAAAAAATCAACTTGTTTTTTTTCTTAGGCTTCAACAGAGACTTGTAGACAAAAAACTTTGCACTATCTATTGGTAATATAATCTTTTTTCTCTCTATATAAAACACTGCAATCGCAGTTATGAATAATAATAGCAGTATGCCAATTCCAAACTAACAGGACTTATCAAAGCTGTCTCAATTGTGTAATCATAATACCACAACAAATCATATAAGAGTACAAATTGAATGCTTCCATGTCGTGAAAGCGAAGAGAATTAGTGATTAATTGTGAGTTAAATCGTGATTCAACAGACAATTAATCCGCAATTTTTTCACTAGTAACTACAGAGGTGCGGCATGAAAATCGAGAGTTATTCATCCACTTTATAAAAATCAGCAAAATGGTGACGATTTTCACGACTTGAGCTTAAATTTGTGAATCCACATCTGCTCATCATGCTGAAACAGATACACAAACAGACTAGGTTATGCGTGATAAAATTAATTAATTTATAATTATGTACATATCTATTTACTAAATATTTCATTTCTTCTAATTCGATAAGGGATCATCGATTTTGTTATCAAAAATAAATTAGTTTAATGTGCAAGCAAATTTTGGTTTACTTGGTGAATTATTATCCCTTTGCTCATCATCATCAAATAATGAAGAATATCTTGTTGTGCTTGTTTATGATTAAATGAATGTTTTTATAGACAGTGGAAATAATAATGAATAGATGTGCTATTATAAATCTTCTTATTATAACTCGATCATATTTATCAGTTTCATCAAATGATAAAAATGATTTTCTTTTATTTTATTCGACATTAATTTTTGATAATAGTCAGATTAAAATATATTCTGACTTTATTTTATCATTAAGTGCGATGGTGTAAAACAAGATATTTGGTTCTATGTATTAACCTGATAAATACCGCTATCTTCAGGTTGAACACAAACAGAATACAAGATTTTTTTTCTTTCTGTCATATCAATAAACAGCTGTCACTAGGAATGCAACGGTGACGGTAAACCAGTGAATGATCGTCACCATTGCATCCCTAGCTGTCACTCGAAATGATTATCCATACGGTTGTATGGATCAATGTTTCATATAGGATAACAAATATATATACAGCTCATTCAATACGATAGAACACAAGAAAATGTTGGGATTGAAAGAGTTAAATATAAACATTTAGTAAATATTTTTTCCATGCAAACCTAACATTTTGTTCATCATATGTGTTATGCGATTTACTGTGTTATTTCATCACTTCTAATTACCAGTGTGTGATATGGTGTGGTTGCGAGTGGGTTTAAGTGCCAGGGTGTGAGTGCGATTTAAAAGAAGGATCACAAGGACACCCACAGCCTTCATTAATGTTCCAATATTTTATTTAATACGTAGATAATTATTAATTTCATCTCCATTCAGAGATGCTCCTCGGTTAGCATTAGGCAACTATTCAAGTCAATTAAAAGATAGCTAATTCGTCTAATAATTACTTATATGGATACAAACTGTCTATTGATGATATAAAATCCATTTATTCTTCTTTGATAAAACGGTAGTTTTGTATTGCTTTCAGTCAATGGGACAATTTGAAAAAGTACAAGATAGGATAGACGAGATTCATGATGGGGAAAAGTATATCCTACATATCTCTAGATATAATCGCTACATATATTACAAAATATTTATAACTAAAGATATTCACTTTTGTGCAATAGATATGAATGACTAAGCAGTAAATCAAGATTGCAAAGATACTTGTCTTCTCAACTATGGACTAATAGTTCTATGCCATTGCATCATATTTCTTATTTCCCTGCGTTCTATATATATATTTTATTTTTATTTTTTTCTGTTAATATAGTGATCCATAGACATTTATGTCGTACAGTTATTGCACAAGAATCAGAAATATAACAAAATGTTTTCTCTACTAATCTGAATAGATTCATTTGACAAAAATGGCAAATAGTGAAAGACAGGCTGACGAAATATTAGCATTACAATCAATTTTTGATCGAACATTTCGTTTAACGAATGAAAATCAATATGAAATATTAATTGAATTTGATTTATGTACATCATTTACAATTCAATTAGACAATAAAATATCTACAGTACAATATTTACCACCATTATCTCTTATAATTAATTATCATGATGAATATCCAAGCGATCATCCACCATCATTTATTCTATCATGTTTTTATTTTTCTAAAATTGATTTAGAAAAACTTTCTCAAAAAATTGATAATTTTTGGTTTATTCGAGGTGAAGTTTGTGTTTATGATTGGATTGAATTAATAAAACAAGAAATAACAAATCAATTTATTATTCGTACAAGTTTTGAAGAACAACAAAATGATCCATGAGCATTAAATGGTTACACAATTGAAAATGCTAAAAAAAATTTTCAATATTTAATTGATTATAATCAAAAGCGTTAAGAAGAAGTATTTCGAAATCGACTTCAATCATGTTCTATTTGTATAGATATTATTCCAGGTATAGATTGTATTCGTCTTCATCGTTGTGGACAATTTTATTGTCGTACTTGTTTGAATCATTATATTCGAATGACACTTGAAAATGGAAAATTTGGAGAAAATCTTCTTTGTCCACAAGATCATTGTAAACAAGTTTTACTTCCAACAGAAATAAAACAAACTATTCAAAATGAAAAATTATATGAAAGATATGAACGATTAACATTGCAACATGGACTTGAATCAATGAAGGATATTGTTAGGTGTCCAAGGTGAGATAAACTAATGAGTTATTTTGATTTCTTTAATAAAGATATGTATTATTTTCTTACTAAGATTTTTGCAATACCTGTTTCATATTTGATAAGCTATATAAAACTATGAGAGTTCACATTTACAGTTAGTTTCTGAGTAGAACGAACATTTATAGGAAATTTTTGTTGTATTTGCCAACCCATATTTGTAGCATGATCATACTTTCAAATTCTGACCGAATGTTTTGATTAAATGAAGATCTCATTTAAATTAGTATGCATACAAAAATTCAGAATTTTCTAATAATTGTTTTCAAGTAATCTAGCTATGAATATGGACTTCCTCGAAAAAAAACATGACTAGAAACGTTCGATTTCATCAAAGCAAGACCATAATTAAAAATCCAATATAATT